CAGCCAGGAAGCAGAGAGTGAGGGAGAAGTGGGGGACTAGAATATAACTTCACAGGCCAAGCCTTCTGTGATCCACCCTTCTGACTAGGCTGCACCTCTCAGTAGCATATTCAGCTGTAAATTCATCAATGGATTAGTCCGCTGATGAGTGTAAGGCCTCATGGTCCAATAACCTTCTAAAAGGCACACCTTGACCACATGAGATACTGGGGGGGGGACATTTTAGATCTAAATCATAGCACTAAGCAAAAAACAGAAATAGTGTTGCAGTAATATTTCTAAGTGGTTATAGTATATATAATTTATTAATTTTTATTTAACATATATTTATTATCTAAAATATTTGGTAACCACTGTATTAGACTAGATCTGTAGCAGCAAAGTATTGTAGTTTATATACATATTGTTTCCAGTCCATTAATATGTTTTTTCTTGTATCCTAGGTATCTTACTTAGTTTCAGCCAGTATGAATGTGTGAAATAACATTCAAAACTATCAAGTTATTTTTAATCTAGTAATATACTCCATATGGATGTGAATTCATTTTCATTGATCTAATCCTGTTGTAGTCTAAAAAAATATGTTTTAGTTCAATTGGCATCTGCTCTTTTACTTCTAGAGTTACATGTATATAAAAGATATATGTTTTAATAAATTGGATTTTCATAACAATTTATCCTATACTGTAACCTTCTGTGGGAGGGGAGCTTATGTTATTGAATATGATCATTTGAAAACAGAGAATATATAATTTCTTTTCATAAAATTAGGATTTATAAAAAGACCAAGGATCACAATATAGAAAGTAAGCATATTATGGATATTTTAATTTAAAAATTGCCTCAAGTTTCTGTGACCTTATCTATACCTAAATGCATCTGTTTCAGAGAAAATTTCATGTGGTAGGCTCTAAAATCTGCTACATGTATTTTTTAATCACTTACATAAAATAGCTTTAAAGTTACATGGCAAATTCTGATGAAAAGAAATGTGATAGGGCCAGGGATTTAGCTCATGCCTGCCTTGCAAGCACGAGGACCAGAGTTTGATCCCTAGTACCAAAAAAAAAAAAAAAAAAAACCAGGTGTAATCCCTATTACAAAAAAAAAAAAAAAAAAACAGTGACATATCCTTTATCTCTCAAGGCATAGGTATTTTAAAGACAGTTGCATTCTTTATGAAACCCATGAAATAATTTTTCCTTTATCTCTCAAGGCATAGGTATTTTAAAGACAGTTGCATTCTTTATGAAACCCATGAAATAATTTTTCTTGTCTCAAAATTGAGTGTATTTTGAAAGTTTCATTTATTTGGTAACTTATTAGTCAGTTTTGGTTTAGATAGTTCACTGTATATTTATTTTAATTGCAATGAAACTGTTAGATCAAATTTTTGTATGTTAGATTTTGGCAAAAAGTCTGTAATTTTTTCTATAAAGGAAAAATTTTAATGAAATAGACTACGAAATTTTGATAAATGACTTTACATTGAGATCTATAGTTACATCAGTATCTTAAAATATATTTATGGATATATGTATTTAATATGTATAATATGCATGATTGAATTAAAAGTAAATGATTAAAATCTTTCATTATATATACTATCATACATTCATATACTTGGTAATTTTCCTTAAATACTTCCTTAAATACTTTCCTTGAATACTTTGAGTTTTGTCATTTCAAGTGACTTTATTTGCGTTTGAACCAGACAGTAGTCTCCTGGAAGATGAAATTTTCTGAAAATTTATTAATGTGTAATGAGTCCAAAAGTGGTAGTAAGTGTGTCAGCCAGATATCCATTATAACGAGGAGTTAATATCTGTATCTGCATTACTTTCTAATTGATGATTCTGTCTCATATTTGAAAAGCGTTAAATTGCTGATGTACATGTGATGGAATTCCAATTGTCAGGCTAGATACTACACTTGATCTTAGCCAAAAGGCCGAGAAGCGATCCAATTGTCAGGCTAGAAATGAAAACTTTGTTTCATCATTGCAGCTGATTCTCAAATGATTTTTAAAGCAATGACATTGAATGTTTGTAGTAGAGGTCAGTATTAGAAACCTCCCATTTCTGTAGTAGCTCCCATCACCCAAGTCTTCACTGAACATAAACTGTGCTCCATAATTCAGTTTTTAAAGAAGAGCTGAGAGAGAGAGAGAGAGAGAGAGAGAGAGAGAGAGAGAGATTCATTCATTAAAATGGGAAAATATAGATAACTGCATGGAGACAGTATTGAGTAAATTAATCAATAATGGATAAGCTGAAAATTTAAAGATGTGAATATAAATATCATACCAGGATCATAATTTGTTGATTTTTAAACCTAAGGGGAAAAATTGCCTAGTTCAAATAAATTGCAATTTATACTGCACACTAAAACAATTTGGTTAGTAAGATATTTCACATTAGTTTAAAAGCACAACTTTTGTCATCATATTTATAGAGCCAAACGTTGCATTAGGGAGCATGGTACCCAACCTTCACTTTTCTCAGTTCTGTTAGGGTTATACAACGTGGAACCAGTTTCCTCTTCTGTGACATAACAGACACAACAGATTGGAATAATGGATTTTTAGTATCATCTACTTTCTGTTAAGCATTTTCTTAAAACTATGTATGTTTTGGTTACTTCTTTTATTAGTTCATCAGGCATCACTTACCTTATGTGAATAAGTATCATTTACTCTTTATATTGTTTTATTTCTCTGCTGTTCAAAAGTGACCAAAACCAGAATTTGGATGTTGCATGTTCTTGGATCACTTCAGAAACAAGGCCAAATAAAAATAAGAGTCTGGAAGAGAAGGGATGAGGGAAGCGGGGGTGGCATGCAAAACCATTCCTGATATTGTTCTAGTCCATACCAAATAAAACCTGCACAATAACAAGTAATATGTTGCAATTTATTTTCTATATATAGAATGAAAAAAGCAGCAACCAAATAATTACACAGTATATTTGTGTATTTGTAGCCTTCTCTACAATGTCTTACACAATTACATATTTTATTCTCCATCATCTAATTTCTTTTATTTCTTCTAACAATCTTTAGTAGCTTTTTCTCCTTTAAAACCAGAAATATTTTCCCTGACTTGTACAACCTATTGAGTGTTCAATGGATGCTTTAGGTTCACTGTTTCAGCTAATCCAAATGACAATCCTATGAGGTATATAATGTTTGCATCTTTACTATTTTCACTTCACAAATGGAGGTCCTTCATTACACAGAAGTTAATCTTGCTCACTGTCAACCTTTTCCTATATTTTCTCGAGCGTCTCTGGTCCTGTGTTTCATCCTCAGCCATAGTTGCCACTCTGTTTTGCAAACAGGCCTTTCTCATTTTCCTTTCTTGAGTAAACTTCTCTCACATTGCTCTGCTATGGCCAAAGACACTCTGGTCACTTTCTTGAAGAATCCTGTGTCATATTTTCTTCCAGAATCAATCTCCTGCAAATTATTCTGGAGCTTTGCATACTACCTTTAATTTCTGTGTGGACATATTTTTCTCTCTGATTGGCTGTTCTGTACTTGAGGAATAGTGACTCATTTATCTTTGCCTTCATCACCTCTCCCAGTGCTGATATGCAGGAGATGGTCAGCATCATTGAATCAATCTTGGATAAGAATAAGCACTGCATTATAGGGTATCATGAATGTTATAGTCAGAATTGCATGCTTTTTCAAAATTTAATTATATTCAAACTAAGAAATTCCAAATCTTATATTTTTATGGGGCCTCTTCTAGCCAGGATTGGAGATATCTATATCTATATCTATATCTATATCTATATCTATATCTTTATCTATATCTATCTTTATCTATATCTATACCTATATCTATCTATCCATCTATCTATCCATCCATCTATCCATCTATCTATCTATCTATCTATATCTCCATAATTTTGTGAGTAAAGCCACTTGTTTTCATGGGCTTCATCTTATGTTTTTCACTAGAGTTCATTTGTCAGTTGTTAGCCCTAAGCAATTACCTAATTGATTATCAGTTGAGCTCTGTTCTTTACCCACCACAGTGAGATATACAGAAAAATCATAAAACATTGTGAGAGACTTTAGCATCCAACTGTGATCACAAATCGAATACACAGAAATTTTAAGTATAAATAATCTCTACCTGCCACCATGATACACTAGTGAGTTACCAAAAGCAGACTTATGACCACTTGCACTTAATTAGCCCAGTTATCCTAATACTGCTCTGCAGGGTACAACAAGCATCGTCCAAAACTGTGTAGGGGAGGAAAACCTCCATCTGCCACTTGTGTAGTAAGGTGATGAAACTGAAGTCTCCTAGGTTGGTGAAAGGATCTCCTTTTTGGATTGATGCTATGCAGAACCTGTATTTAAAGTTCACTGAGCCAGGCCATTCATCTCAAGAGTTCCTTGGAATGCCTAAGTGGTCTCTGATAGCCTTAACATTTTCTGCTTTTCTTAGTAGTTTGTGGCTATATAATGTATCCTATTTTCCTTATTGTATTTCTTTAGGTTACATATTTATTTATCTGCCCACTCTTAACTTGGATTTGTGTTTTAGAAACTAGCTTTGGTAATATAATAATTTCAAGGTCTTTTTCCAATTTACCAAGTCACCACTTTATTGCTTTTGCCCTTACATTTTTTAAAGATGTTTTTAAATATGTAAGATTTATTGTAATACATTTTCCTCCAATGCACTTGCACACTTGTGGTTTTTTTTGTTAACCTCCTAAATTTCAAAATTCCATTGTGTATGTATATAATTTATTTAATGTTCTTATATTCTTTCCACAAAATAAGTTTTAAAAATTTTAATCTTTGTTTCCTATAGTAACAACAATGGGAAAGCATGATTAAATAATTACCTTAAATATGATCTTCTTTAGAGAAAATGTATCTTCCTTGATTATAATCACTAAATATTATGGCTTATTGGCGTTTTGTTTGTTTTCACAATAAATTACATTTCTTATTTTCAATTTTATTTTCACAGGTAAAAAGATGGCCTATCAGAAGGTCAGTGCAGATCAAAGAGAATCAGGACACTCACAGTACTTAGACAATGATGACCTTCAAGCCACCGCCCTTGATTTAGAGTGGGACATGGAGAAAGAACTGGAGGAGCCTGGTTTTGACCAGTTCCAACTTGATAGCTCTGAGAATGAAAACCGGGGCCACCCAGAATCTGTGGACCTCAATCTTGATTCCATTCAACCAGCAACTTCACCCAAAGGAAGATTCCAGCGACTACAAGAAGAATCTGACTATGTTTCCCATTATACAAGATCTGTACCAAAGAGTAACAGCTACAACTTTTGTCGCCTTTTAAAAATACTTTGCACAGCCGCCATTTTATTTATTCTCGGAATTTTGATAGGTTATTATGCACATACAAGTTGCCCTTCCCATGCCACATCTTCAGGAACAATTGATCCTCAGTTATACCAAGAGATTCTCAAGACAATCCAAGCAGAAGATATAAAGAAGTCTTTCAGGTAGGAGTAGAAATAAGTGATGGGTGGGGGGGCATATTTCCTGGGGAAAAAAATGTCTTATGAGGATTCTAAACTAATGATTTTTGCCATTGTTTAATTCATGTCATTTTCCTGTTGTTGGTTCTTTTGTTTTTTCTCTCTCTATTGAGTTTATTGATACATTTTAGGTATACAGTACAGTTACATTCATCATTGTGATCTTGTACCTCTACATGACAGGTCTTGGTTCTCATTTTTTACCCATACCTTGCCATCCCTTCAGCCCCTCCTCCCTTCCCTATTTACAAACACTTTATTTCCTTTTTTCATTTTCTCATTTTTTTCTTTTCCCTTATTTACTTTCCCCTACCCTTCCCACTTTCCCTACACCTTTAGCCCTTTTCTTCCTATTTCATATTGTCAATTATATCATTAAAATCTTATGTACCATTTTAGTTTTTCACACCAGAGAAACTATTCAGTATTTACACATGTGTGACTTATTTATTTCACTTGGGATTATATCCTCAATATGTATCCATTTTCCTATGAATGGCTCTAATTTCTCTTTCTTTATGGCTGAGTAGTATTCCATTTTATAGAAAAACCACATCTTCTTTATCCAGTCTCCAACCGATGGGCAAATGGGCTGTTTCCAAGTTTTAGCTATTACAAACTATGCCATTATAAACATGGGTGCACATATAACATTGTGATATGATTCTTTTAATTCTTTTGGAAAGATACCCAGCAGAGGGACAGCTGGCTCAAATGGAACCTCTAATCCCAGCTGTTTGAGGTATCTCCATATTGATTTCCATAGTGGATGCACCAGTCTGCACTTCCACCAACAGTGGAGAAGGGATCCTTTCTCCCCACAACCCCACCAACATTTGTTATTGGTTATTTTTTTATTTTTCTCCCTCTCTCTTGAAATTCTTGCCTATTGCATTTGCTCTCCATGCCTCATGGAGCTGTGACCTTCATTATCTTTTTCTAGGATATTTAAAAAGTTTTCAGATTTAGCTCAGCGGTTCGGTGGCCTGCTTGTAAGCGCAAAGACCTGAGTTCAATCCCCGGTACAAAAAAAAAAAAAAAAAAAAAGTTTTCAGAGTGCATTTCTCAGGTGTTTTTGCCATGAAAATATCGTACTTATCCATCAATTTTGAAAGATAGTTTTTCAGGATACATCAGCCCAGGTTGGAGGTTGTTTTCTTTTAAAGCTTGAAATACATTGTTCGAGGCTCTCCTTGACTTGAGGGTTTGTGATGAAAAGTCAGTTGTGATTCTAAATGGCTTTCCTTTGCGTGCAATTTTTTTATTTTCTCTAACTGTATGTAGTACTTTGTACTTCTGTTGGCTTTCCAGGATCTTGATTACTATGTCTAGGTGTAGATTTTATTTTGTTGTAACTAGTTGCAGTCCTATATGCCTAACTCATCTATACGTCAAGTTCTTTTGTTCTGTTTACAAAGTTTTCTATCATTAATTCTATGAAGAGTTTTTATGTCATTTGTGCTTTCTCTTTTTTGTGTGTAGATTCATATTAAACTTATACCATTCTTCTTTGAGTCACCTAGGAGCTGTTGCATTAATTTATTGTGGTTCCTTACTATTTTAAAGAGATCTCTATTTTCAAGGTCACTGACAGCCATCCTATCTTCTATATCTGATAATCTGTCTTCAGATAGGGTTAGTCTGCTATGTATATTTTTTATAGAATTTTTAATCTATTGGGTATCAGTTTGAATCTGTTTCATGGATTCCGTTTTTTTTATTATGTTGGTCATTCATGGTTTTCGTTTCTTTTCTATGCTGAGCATTCATGGCTTCAGTCATTGTCCTGAACTCATCTTTTGTTTTTTTTTTTATCTGTTTCTGTTCTAGAGTTTATAATCATGTAATTTACCTGGGAAATTGTTTCTGTTTTGGATATTTCTAGAGCCTCATTCCCCTGTTTAATTTACTTCTTGTTCTATCAGTTCAGATAATCCAGGTAGTTTATTATCATACTTTTCCATCTCATTTTCTCTAGAATTTGCCTTGGTAAGCTGGAAGAATGTGTCTTGTTTAAATGTCTTTTCATTTCTATTACTGTTGGTATAGTCCTTAGTTTAATTCCTGGGTTGATAGTTAGCTATTACTTATTGTAAGTGTCTGTGTCGCTAATATTTAGAAACCTTAAGGAATGATTGCTTCTCGGAGCTGTCTTCCAGATTCACCTGGTCTTTAGTAGTTGAGACTGTAATATTTCTGGGGCAATCTCATTTTCATTATACAAAGAAAGATAACAGATTAGATCAATCACAACACTAGACCAAGTGATAAAATCAGCATCATCAGTAGAATCAAACTCAACTTAAAAAATGACAATTTGTGGTAGTTATTAATCTATCACCTTTAACTGTATGAAATAAAACAAAATCAAAGAGTAGCCAAAAATATGTTTATAATGAGTAAACTGATCAATGTAGTAACTTTACGTTTTGGGATTGAGACTTAGAAGGAATAAGGCCCTCTTACTATTCTTCACTTCTGCTCTAGCTCAGGGCAATGGCCATTAAGGCTCCTTGTGCTTTTTCAGTTTAGATGAGGAGCAGAGATAGTAGCCAGGAAGCCAGAAAGGCGGGTATGGGTTGCTGGAAGAGCCTGCGCAGCTCAGGTCCTCACGGGAGTGGGGGTGTGTGTTGTCCTCTGGTGACAAGGAGGCCTTCTGTTAGTCTGCACTAATCTCTTGATGTTGACGTGTACATTTCTAGGAATCTTCTCAGGAGAGCAAGTCCATTGAGCATACATTCAATGCATGTACTGATGTCTCAGGTGTTCTGATGTTGATGAATTCTAATCCTATACTTGTAGATCATGCCTGAGTGACTGACAGAACTGTGTCATCAACACACTATTATGTTTGCTCTTCATGGTTATTTAAGCATTCTTGGAAATGTAATATATAGATAATAACACTTTATTTTCCAACATAAAATTATTTATGTTGAACTGAGCTAAAAAATACACCATTGTCTTACAATGAATGATTGTATCAGTCATAATCCAACTAATGCAAAAGAAAACTTCATGTACATTTGAAATAAAGGATGCCTAAAATAGATGGGAATGGAATTAAGAAAAAAATGGAAACAAAGTCTTTGTAGATAGTGAGGGATAGAAGTGTTGAAAGGAGGACAAGGGGATTGGGAAAAAAATAAGAAATAAGATGGATTATGTAAAGGTGCAAATTTCCAATGATGAATGTCATTTCATTGTATACCTTAAATGTACCAATAAAATTAGCTAAAAAATAAAAATAAAATAGAGACATATGATCCCCTCAGTGAAAAATAATGAGAAAAGAACCAGGGGATGCACAGGAAGTCCAGAAATGGCATAATTCCTAATCTTAGGCTGAAGGATTGGTGGAAGCTGGAACTTTCCTCATACACAAGTGGAAGGAAGGATGTAGCCTCAGTTGGAGGCAACACTGAAGACAAAGGGTGAGGAGCGCCACCGCTCCTCCCTTCCTCCTGATTGTCAGACCCTAGCAGTGGTCCCATTGGCTGAACAGAGCAGGAGGCTGACTCAGAATCTGGGAAACTCATCTAATGGGATTAACTCCCAGGAGAACAGGGTGGAACAGGAAGAGGGCAAATAGACTCACAAATAGATCTTGCTTAGGGATGTTGTCTTAAAAGAAATCAAATACAAGGACCTTATAAAATTGTGTTGACTATAATAAATAAGCATCCATCTTTCTCTATCCATAGGTAGATATGCTACCTATGTCCATCAGTTCTATTGTGGACATCCGTTGTATGTTACAAAAGTGTCTTCTGAAAATGGGTCTATGGGATTAATTTCTCTTAATATTAAGAATAACTGTTTTCCTGAGGCACTTGTTAGCTTTTTTTTTTTAATTGAGTTTATTGGTACATTTTAGGTATACAGTACAGTTACATTCATTATTGGGATCCTGTACTTTTACATGACAAGTCTTGGTTCTCATTTTTTCCCCTTGTCCCCGCCCTCCCTTCACCCCCTCCTCTCCTCCCCATTTACAAACAATTTATTTCCATCTTTTCATTTTCTCACATTTTTTCTTTTCCCTTATTACCTTTTAATTTAAGGAGACAATACATCTTATAACCTAGCCTACTTCCCTCTTTACTATGGCTTGGAGTAAGTTTCAAGTTAAATTTTATGTCAGTTCACAGTGCTATGCCTTATGTCTAGATGTCCCTCCAAAGCCTCACACAGTCATGGGTGGGGCTTTTCAGAGTTGACTGGATATAGAGTGTGATGCTGGAATCAAGGTAGATCCCACCTTAAGGGCGTGCAGCCTCGATATAGGGGTCATAAAGAGCGATGCTGTGTCCCTCACTTGTCACTTGCTTCTTTGCGGCTGCTTTGCCTCTTTGCTGCTTTGCAGCCATGACCTATTTCTCCTCTGTGATGCCCTCCACCATGCCTCCCTGTCTTGAAGCCAGCCAATGATGAACTGAAACCTTTACAAACTGTGCTACAGTAAACCTTTTCTCCTTTAACTTTGTGTGTCAGGTATTTTGTTTCAGCAAGAAAGTTAATCAGTGTACATTTTGTTTAGTTACTAAACTACATATATATTTTCTTTTATGTATTTCATTTCCTTTTTTACCTTACTTGTTTTAATTTTTCAGCATTATAAAAATCTTTAAAACTCACTTATATCCTCTTTAAAAACAGGAAGCTTATTTTAAAATTTACAATGTATGATTAACTCAGAATATTATTCTCTTAGAATAGCAGCTGCAGGACAGTAAAGCTTATATTTTCCTATTAAATTACAGAATCAACAAAATGAGGTATATTTTAAAGCATTATTGGATACAGATTGATCAACAATCAATCTATTGATACAGCAGACTTTTTTCTTCAAACAATAATATTGTTGGCTCAAATATGTTTGCCGAAACTTTCTCTGATTAATATCTCATTGAAAGACATATTTTCACTCCATAGTCTTGCCTACCACATGCCATATTGCAAGT